CTTATTTAACTTAGTTAATCTAGGTTAGGATGCATCAATTAAGGTTTATACAAATTAATCAAGATTAAGCATAATCATTCTTAGCTTAATTAATCCTAATTAGGGCCCACTAATCATACTTAATTAACACTAATCCTGATTAGCAAAATAACATATATTATTAAAATGATAAGTACATTAGTCTAAGATCTTTATGCTTCTCAATTAGTGCATTGGCACATCTTAGAATTCACAAATTCTAAACTCAAGGCGTCCCCCCTAACTCTTAATGATCTTTAAGTATTTCTATTCTTAAGTTTGTCTCATCAAGGCATATTTTTCACTTCTAAATTTCTTGCCAATTGTATTCATTCTCTTGGGTTTCGTCTTGTCAATTCATATTTCTATCTCTAGAGTATTGAAAGGTAATTAAATTAAGTTAAGCATTCGGTCATGTTATGTAAAAGCGTTTTTGATGTGATATACACTTGCTATGTTCAAGAGGGGACTAATTCTGAAGTCTTAATTATGGATTGTAGTATTCTTATGTTCAAAGTTTCCTAGCTACCCAAGTCGAAGCTTTATGTTGAGTACTTAGTCTAATAAGGTAGTTAATTTACTTAGAATATTCAAGGGTAGATAATCATATAGTCATAACGTGTGGTGTTCTTTGGGGTGTCACATTTGCAAAGGTCTGTTACCTTTCTAGGGTTCTAGATTAGATGGCTCTATGAATTGGTGATGAAGGCATCTTAGAAGTAATGTTGTAGTGGTTTTTTTTTGGGTAAGCTTGAGAGAGAGGGTAAAATGGTGTTAGAATGTTGGAGTTTCCGTAATATAGGTAAGAGGTTTATGGATATTGGGGTTAGTCATTTGCAGAAGACAGAGGTGTGTTGTTCAGAGGTTGGTTAGGTTTGGTTGTTTTGGGGTGGCAGCAATGTTGTTGGATCATGGGGTAGATAACGGTTCGGAAAGGGGGTCGTAGATAATAGAATCTAGGCTAGTGTTGAAGCCTCATCAAAAGTTGATCAAAGGTGGTTGTTTTGTTAACAGGGTGAGTGCAATGGGGATGGGGATCTTGATTTGTGCAACTGTTTGATGGAGTTCTTGGTATGGGTTTTGTTGGGTGATTGAGGGGATTGGAGGCTTTGGTGAAGGAGGCCAAGTGACGAAGATCATGAAAAGAAGAAAAAGAGGAAATTTGGAATTTCACATGAAGCACATTTAGGGCATCAAGAATTAAAGATTTGGAATAATTTTGAGTCTTGATGTCATTATAGTAGGTTTAGTAATTAAGGGTATAATGGTAATTCTAATAATTGTTGGACATGGGTTGTAGGGGTCACCCATGGGTTTTATTTTGGGTCAAGTTATTAAATGGATCATTAAATATGGGTTTTATTATGTCTAAAATAATTTTGATGGTCAAAAGTCTAAGTTTCTTATTTTGATATTGAAGTAGAATTAGAAGTCATTAAAGTTTCCTATTATGATTGAAGTAGAATTGGAAGTCATAGTTGGTATAGAATATTAGTGGTTGCTAAATATTTTTAGTTTTTAAATTTGAGTAATAGTCCTTATAAAATTAGGAGTCTTTAGCCTATAAATAGATGTGTAATCATCTCAATGATTCGAGAAAGAGTTAAAATTTTGAAAATTTGAGATTGTGTTTCTGTTATTGGCCTATCCCTTGTGAGGGTGAAGCATCTCTCTCTCTCTAGCAAGGTTACTGTTCAATTCATTGTTCACAGTGCTTAGAACAGCCACCCGACAACGCCTAAACACTAGTGTTTTCATTCCCAAAACCCTACCCTTTTACAAACCCTTAAACTCCTATTTTTTAAATACTTTTGCAGCAACAAATCCCACCAAATTCAGCCCTATAAGTCTATTGTTGTTGTTGCCAGTATACTTGAACCAGGCTCACTACTTGTAGGAAAGTAATCTCTACTCGTCCTATATCACCAAGGCAGTGATGAAGTGGGTTGATCGGCTTGTTATTTAGTGTTTGAATGATGGCAACAATATCTTTCTAGAGTTTATTGTACTAGAGAAAGTGGCGCTAAAGATAGAAGTGAAAGTGGCGGATGGGGATCAATCAATGAGGAAGTGTGTGGATTGGCATTGTTGTGGTAGTGTGAAGATGATATTTTTTATTCTTGGTGTGATGTAACTATGTTGGGAGTATTCCTATGGTCCAAAGTGCATTACATGAGCAAAGTGAATGGAAGTAATATTGTCATGTTTTTGGTTTGATTTGGATTGGAGGATGATTGAGATAGAAGGATGGTTGGGCCTAGTCGAGGCCCTTATGGGGTTATTAATGGTTAGTGGTTTAGATCAAACTAAGCCCATTGCAAACTCAGCCTTTAAGGTGTTACACAGTCTTGAGTAGAACTTACCCCAAAAGCTAGCTATTAAGGTGAGGGTGCCCTCACACGCTTATATGCTTAATATTACTTTAGTAATCAGGCGATGTGGGACTTCACTTCACACCCTCCCTGACTCCCAGCATGCTCACTCGGCAGCACCTATGGCGTGCAGGCCAAGGACACACATCCTACCCATCCTTGAGTACCTTAGCTGTAGTACCATGTTACACGGTCGTGGGTAGAATTTACTCCAAAAGCTAGCTATTAAGGTGAGGGTGCCCTCGCGCTTATATGCGCAATATTACTTTAGTACTTAGGTGATGTGGGACGTTGATTCACAGTAGGCATGAGGTGCACCCTATTCCTTATGTTGGTGATGTCCATTCTTTGTCCAATTTATCTTTCGGATAGGTAGTCCAAAATAATTAACATTTGAAACCCATTTCTTGTGATTGTGAAGCCCAATCTTGATCAACGTATATTTTAAGCAAATAGTTCAGATTAATCATCAACCCACAAGTCTTATATTTCGTCTTCAATGTTGAATAATCAAAACTTGGTGGTTCCTTTTTTGTAGAGTGCTTGGATAAGCAAAAAGGAAAGGGTCTATCTTTGGCGGATGATAGATTTGGAGTCATGCTTTCTCTTCTTTGGATGATGGAGAATGGTGGCCTTTGTCTACTTCAGCTGTTGGGATGAGTAATGTTGGTGTAGAATTGCAGTAAGAGGTGTCTGCATTGGTTGTGCTTCCTTCATGTGAACTTGAAGTAGAGAGCTTAGCTTTTTTTTTCATAATCAGTTAGGTGGGTTCCACCGTTGGTTTGAAATGGGGCTTGGTAGAGAGGTGAATGTTATGGTTCTTTAATTCTCATTAAAGAAGATAAGAACATTGGCAATTCTCATAAAAGGCTTCAATGTTTGTTTGGTTAGTTTTGATGGAAAGGAGGGAAATTAGGCTTTGGTAGGGTGGTGCAATGAGGGTATGGATTGGTATTTGGTATGAGGATTGTAGAGTGGTAAAGGGCTGAGCATAAAAACCAAAAAAATCCTGTTAGAATTTACCTTCACCTACACCACTACCACCTCACCTACTCCACTAAACCTAACCCACTACACCACTACCACCTCCACTTCACCTACACCACTACCACCTCCACTTCACCTACTACACCTATATCTCCTATATAAGGAGCCTCTCACATTTGTACTAATCAATCAATCAATATAAATCAATCAATAATACATAAATTCTTACAATATATAGTTACCAAATGGAAATACTAAAATATTTTATTAGTATTAAACATATATATTTAAATATATAAATTATAACTCTCTACTATTATAAGTTTATTTTTGTATAGTGATAGAACTAATTTTAAACAATCATGCAAACAATTCTTTGGATGTAAATAATATTTTGTGATCATACCGTACCAAACCGAACCGTACCGTACCGTACCGTACCGTACCGTGGTTTAGTGGTTCGGTTTGGATTGTTCCAAGATTTTCATGGATTGGTTTGGTTCCAAATTTGATGGAACTGCATGTAATGGATGGGTATTGTTTTATGGCTAAACGAACCAATCCAAACTGTTTGAGCAGTCTCTATTTTAAGTGGAAATTGTATCTAAGAAGCCTATTAGTGTGTATTTTGTAGTCTTGGAAGAATTTAGGAATCAGTTAAAGAGGTGCATCCAAAGATCAAATCTGTTGCTGTTATTGGTAAAGTTGGTGGAGACAAAATGAATATAAATTTCACAAGTCGAAAAGGCTCCTTGAGGAAAATTGGCGAAGTATTGAAGCATTTTAGTATTTGGAAATGTCATATTTTGGGGTTTTAACTGTTTTTGGGGCCATATGTCGTGTCATCTTCTTGTTTTTATCCCTCCTTTAAATATATTTGGTTGTATGGGGGCTTTTGGCGCTCTACACGCTCTGTGATAGTTTTTTTTTTCTTTCGTTGCTTATAGAAAAAAAGATAGGTAAATCCCACTGAACACGGAGATTCACGAGGGAAATCATTTTTTTTAGTGTAGTCCTTGGAATTTCGTATTTCTCTCTTTCTATCTCTCTCGAGATGAGGATTGTTGCAGCAAATACAATCAGTTAGAGAAGTGAAAAGAAGATACAGACTTATGGAAATTCTGTAGGACCCAAGAATGTTTTCATGTTAAGTTTGCAGAATAAATTTATTGGAGTTTAATATAGATGTAAAACTAATATACTTTTCAAAAGCTCATATTTGCCTTGGTAGAAAACTGCTGCTGTAGATCTAGTTGCTTTGGCATGTTTTGATGATTCTGCTGTAGATCTTGTGGCAGTAATGCATTTTCGATTGTTGATGGCTTTTCTTTGCCACCTATTATTTTTGTCTTGATGTTCTCCTCATCTCTTTATGTTGTACATCTGGCACATTTTAATATGTCTTTGACTTTAATTGAAAATGATCACTGTAAGAAGTGTGTTTAGAATGTTCACATTTTTTGAGTCATATATTGATAATTGTGAGAAACTATAGAGAGAAAATAAAGAGATGAAATTGTTTTGCTTAATTATTGTAGCAGTCATTATGGCTGTTAGTTTTTGTGTGTGTGTTGCATGCTTTTTTTCCTTCCTGTTTCTATTGTTGACAATGTGCTATTTCAGATTCTAGAACAGCACATTAGAACTGTTCTCCCTGGTTTGAAGGCAGAGCTAAATTCTTATTTGCTCACTGTTGTCAAGGAGCTACGTACATATGGGGAAGCTATGGAATCGAAAGTAAGGCACCATTATGTGCTATATAATTTATTAGAATATATTTGGTATTCTCTATTAATTATAATTTGACACAGAAAGTTTCAAGAGAAGTATTTTCGTTTATGGTTAGGGTATGGTCCTTTGCTTCTGCCATGAATCACTTCTAAGATAAAGCTTCAGACTTGCTTGATTCATATCATTTGCATCTACTAGCACTTTATACCCTTTTGGACACTATTTTTTACATTAGGTATATGTACTGAAACATTTTAATTTCATTACCTTTTTTGATATTAAGAGACATTGATTAAACAATATTGCTGTATTTTCACTCTGCCGACAACTGTTCATCTTGGCACCATTTGTGGAACAATATTATGAAATTAGGGCATGCTACAATTTTGCGGCTAAATGTCATTGTCTTGATTGTGCCATTGAATGGCATGAATATTGTTGCACTAGACTTGAATTAATATTTTGCTGTCCATGTGGATGGCTGCCGCTTGTTTTATACATAAAAATGTCCCCAAAAATCTTGTTAGACTGTAATTTTTAATTCTTTAAGTTCTTTGAACATATGGTTGCTTTCCATTAACTAGGCTGAGCAAGGAGCAATTCTGTTGAATATTCTGTCAAAATACTGTGAAGGTGAGTTTTATTTGTTACCATAACCATTTCTGTTCTAGATATTTTATGTTGCTAATGTGAGAATATATTTGCCTATATTGCATATATTCTATTTTAGGAATTTAGAATGATTGTGATTGTGTAAATAGTATGTGTAATTCGTATTTTCCGTTTTAGTCCTAGGGATTAGAGTTCTATATAAGAATCTTTGTAGCATTGAATCATTCGAATGTATAGAAATATTCAGAAACTTACATGGTATTAGAGCTCCTCTCCAAATCGTGACCCTTGTTTGTATCTTTGAAACTCGCGACCCATCTCAGAAGTCGTGAGTCTAGTTTGCAACCCATCTATCTGGTGGCTGGTTCAAGACTCATCTTTATACTCCAGTCACAGGTCCTGTCGTTTGAAGTTCAACATTAGAAGGCCATTGATTTTCGCGAATATCTCCCTCTGGTTCGCGACTCTGGTTCGAAACCCTAGTCACCCTGCTTCATCCCTTTTCTAGTTCGATCGACTCATTTTGGTTTGATCAAGGTCGCGACTCGTCAACTCGCATCTGCTTTGCTTTTGACCTTGAATCTAAAAGTTGAAGTCGACTTTGATTTCTGCTCGCTGTTCTCTCTCCAACTTGCCGTCGCGGACTCCTACCTCTCTCATTGGTTAGCGACCCATTTGGTCCCTTCGTCTCAGTGCTTCGTCCCCTCGTGGCTCATCTTCTCTCTCTGGTTCCTCAATCTCTCTTGGGTCTTATAATTTGACCTCCTCCGGTTATTATATTTTCATTTGGGCCTCTTATAGTTTTTTATTTACATATTGGCATCATGTTAGATGATAAGATTCACTCTATCACTTGCAAACTTACTGGAGCCAATTATGTTTATTGGTCTTAGTGTTATGAAATTTTTTTTGCTTAGTCCAAAAAATGAGGATATGTTTTTGGTTCTGTTTTTCATCCACCAAATCCCAAACAAGATGGATATCAGGCTGTTTGTGACACTTGGGATTGTGATAATATCCAAGTTTTGACTTGGTTTCCTAATGCTGTGGATGATTGTATTGGGATGATGTTCTCAAAATACACCACTGCTAAAGAGTTATGAGACTATTTACAGGGGGTTTATCAGTAGTCCAACTTTGCCAAACGGTATGAGTTGGAAACAACTATTCAAAGTGCTCGTCAGTGAGATCGGTCTGTTCAAGTTTTCCATATTGAGATGACGAGACTTTGGGATCAGCTTGCTCTCATGGAACCGTCTGGTCCTAAGGTACTCAATGCCTATATTCAGTTTCGGGAGGAGGGTCGTTTAATACAGTTCTTAACGACTCTCTCCTTTTGGTATGAGGCTATCTATGGTGACATTCTTCACCGGTCTCCTCTTCTTTCTATGGATGTTATTGTTCATGAACTCCACTCTGAGGAAGCCCATCTTAAGACGGCCAGTCAGACTGTCTCCATTTGTCTTCTTGGCTCTTGTCCAACCCCCATTGCTATTGTCCCCACCTCCTCAGCTTTAGGCCACTACAAAACCCAAGAAAGGGCCTTTGGTTTCAGATAAGTGTGCTTTCTGCCATCAGGGGGCCATTGGAAGTACAACTGTTCCAAGAAAGGACGTGCGTCTTTTCAGCCGTCTCAGTCACAATTCCAAGCTCCTATTTAGAGTGTCGTTCGGCCTCTAGCCACTTATACTGCATCTGCTCCGGCTCCAGATCTTGACTTGGCTTCTTTGAGTGCTTAGATTGCTTAGCTTTAGCATATCTTGTCTACCTTCCAACCAGCCTCTTTTGCTTCTGCTCTCACATTTCTTCATTCAAGTTTGCTTGGCTCTTCGTCAGGTATTTCCCCTCGACTCCGCATCTCTCCTTATTTCATAATTGTTATTCTCCTCTCTTTTCTATAACTGTTACTACTGCCAATGGTTTTGGTATGCTTGTCTTATCTCTTAGGTCTGTTCTACCCTCTGCTATGTCTACTATCACTATACCATCTGCTCTTTATGTTCCTCAATTATTTGTTAGTTTACTCTCTATTGGTCAGCTTGATACTTTTGGTTATGATGCTATCTTTTCTTCTTTTGTCTGTTGTGTGCAAGATCAGTAGTCCAAGGCACAGATTGGGACTGGTCATAGAGTTGGGGACCTCTATGTGGTGGAAAGCTTGCATCTCCCTCTGTCCACCTCTCTAGTTATTTTTTCATCTTTTCAGTTAGATTCTCAGTTGAGTCTTTTTTATTTGTGGCATTCCAGATTAGGTTATTTGTTTGTTGACCGTTTACAATCGTTAGCATAGTCAGGATTGTTGGGTAAAATCTCTCCTAACCAAATTACCGAATGTTGAGGGTGTAAATTTTCCAAAATGACAGCATTACCATTTAATGAAAGTGTTTCTATTTCTGTTACCCCATTTTCTCTTGTGCATACTTATGTTTGGAGACCTTCTCCTGTTCTTACCAAAGGGGGTTCTACTTACTATGTTTCTTTTGTCGATGATTACACTCGCTATACTTGGGTTTATCTTATGAATCATAAATTTAACTTCTACTAGATATATGTACTTTTCAGTCTATTGTCACTGCATAGTTTGGGTCTACTATTAAAATGTTGCGCTCTGACTTGGGTAGGGAATATTTTAAAACTGAGTTTTGTGAGTATTTGGCCAGCTTGGGTACCATTCATCAATTGTCTTGTATTGATACACTAGGTCAAAATGGTTGAGCTAAGCATAAATACCATCATCTCCTTAAAACCACTAGGTCTTTTCTTTTCTTTGCCTCTGTTCCAATTCCATTTTGGGAAGAAGCAGTTCTTGTTGTTGCTTTTCTTCTTAACCGTATGCCTACTCCCTTTCTCTTTGGTTGGTCTTCTTATGAGGTTTTGTTTTCTCAATTTTCCAATTATTCCCTCCTTCGTGTTTTTGGGTCTGCTTGTTTTGTACTTTTTTCTTGCAAAGATAGGACCAAACTTAGTGCTAGATCTGTCCTGTGTCTTTTTGGATTACAGTCTTACTCAGAAAGGCCATCGCTATTACGACCCTAGTTCTCGTCGCCTTTATGTCTTCCGCTATGTTGCCTTTCTCGAACATCTGTCCTATTTTCATCTTCATCCTATCATTGCTCCGGTTTCCAAAGAGGACTTGGTTCACATTAATCCATTTCCTTCTGAGGTCCCTTCTGATGAGTACATCTCCACTGTTTCTCATAAGCTTGTTCTTTCTTCTCCTCCTACCACCCCTCCGGCTAAGTACCTCTCTACTAACCCTCATGAGTCGGTTCCCTCTTCTTCTCCTGCACCTCCTCCTGTTCTTTCTCCTCCTCCGTTGTTAGTCTATTCTCATCGCAAGGCTCTCCCTTCATCGATTGTCTCTGCCCCTGTTGCTCCTCCTCTAACTTCAGACGACTTTGATCTTGCCAATCGTAAGTATTCCTTTCGCAATTGTAAACAGGCAGTCAAACTTGGTTTTGCTAACATAAGTTTTTCCTCTTCATACTGCACTTTTTTGTCTACTATTCACTCTTTGACAGAATCCCAGTCTTACAAAGAGGCCTATTAGGATCCTAATTGGATTCAAGCTATGGGGGATGAGTTATCTACACTGCAAAGACTACTACTTGGGAGCTAGTTCTTTTGTTTGTTGGCAAGAATTTGGTTGTTTGCAATGGGTTTATAAAGTCGAGATTCATTTTGTTGGTTCTCTCGAGCGCTACAAAGCTCGCTTGGTTGCTAAAGGTTTCTCCGAAGAATGTGGTATTGATTATGAGGAGACCTTTGCCCCTATTGCCAAGATGACTACTGTCCGCATTTTGATCTTTGTCTCTGCTGTTCGTCATTGGCCTCTTTATCAGATGGATGTTAAGAATGCTTTTCTTAATGATCATCTAACTGAGGAGGTTTACATGCGTCCTTCCCCTAGCCTTCCTCATTTCTCTGGACAGACTTGTCGACTTTGGCGTACTCTGTATGGTTTGAAGCAATCTCTCCATGCTTGGTATGATCACTTTTAGACAGCTATTACGGAACTTGGATTTCATCCTTGTGCCCAAGACTCTGCCTTGTTTCTCCTCCACACCTCTGCTGGTTTTGTTTCCCTCTTACTATACGTGGATGATATGATTCTGCTATCTTTGAGGTCGAGCAGTATCTCTTCTGCACCTTCAAAATGAAGGATTTAAGCCTCAAGCGGTATTTTCTTGATATTGAGGTAACTTCTTCTCCCAAGGATTATTTTCTGTCTCAGGCCAAGTATGCCAATGAAGTTATTCACCGTGCCGATCTTACTAACATTAAGCTTTTTGATACCCCCATTGAGCTTAATGTGAAGCTCAACACTATTGATGGTGGCCCTCTGGATGATCCTACTTTATGTCGCGAGCTTGTGGGTTGCTTAGTCTATTTGACAGTTACTCGTCTTGATCTTGTCTATGTTGTTCATGTTAGTCAGTTCGGTTCTGCTTCTCGTTCTACACATTGGGCTACTTTGATTCGGATTCTTTGCTATCTTCGTGGTACTATCTTTTAGGGCTTGGTGTTATCTTCTACTTCTTCCTTGGACTTAGTGGCCTATGTTGATGCTGATTAGGCCGGTGATGTTAATGATCGCAAGTCCACTTCTAATTTTTGTATGTTTCTTAACGATTCTCTGATTTCTTGGAAAAGTAAGAAACAAACTATTGCTGCCTGTTCTACTGCCGAAGTTGAGTACCGTGCTAGGACTCATGCTATTGCTAAAATTGTCTGGCTTCGTAGTCTCTTATCTGACTTGTGCATCGCTCCGTCCTCTCCAACTTCTCTCTATTGTGACAACCGAAGTGTTATTCAGATTGCCTATAACACTGTCTTTCATGAGCGGATGAAGTACATTGAGATTGATTGTCACTGCATCCATTAGCATTTGCAGTCTAGCTCTATCTCGCTTCTTTTTGTCACTTCGGCTCTGCAACTTGCTGACTTCTTTACCAAGACTCACACCACTGCTCGATTTCGGTTTCTCCTTGACAAACTCTCAATGTTTTCTGCTAAAACACCTTGAGTTTGCGCGGGGATGTAAGAATATATTGGCTATATTGCATATATTGTATTTTAGGAATTTAGAATGATTGCGATTGTGTAAATATTATGTGTAATTTGTATTTGCTTTTTACTCTTAGGGATTGGAGTTCTATATAAGTGATGTTATCTTTGTATCATTGAATCATTCAAATATATAGAAATATTCAGAAACTTACAGCTAAGTGTCTATTCAACTTCTTGTAAAGTTTAATATATCTCTTTATTGTTCGCTCTATTATGCATTATGGATCTACATTAGATGTTCATTTGAGATGCTTTTTCTGGACAAAGTTTGTTTAGGATGCTATTTTTCTGGCCTCAATAGTATTATTTTTTCATTGAGATGGTATGAAAACTTTGCGTAGGTTTTGGAGCATGAATACTTGAGGGGCTGTTATGGTGGCACTAATGACTTCTGATAGTTGAATACACTAGCTTCATTTAGGAGTTTGGCGATTCTACCATATCCGGCATTTTCTCACCATGCTTTGCTTTGTTGATGAGGCATAAAGGCATTGGTAAACAAGTGCTTACTCCAGTGGTTATTTAGGATGACCATGTGTCAGTCAGCATTTGGAGCAGGTGGATCTCCTATCTAAAAGACATTTGCCATCATGATGCTGCCATTTTTGGTTGAGCCCTAACAATAATGACTGCACTCGGTACCTTGGCATCTGACTATAGAGAGAAGCAAATGTAGCTTGTTGGGGAGCTGCTCAAACATTGAACAGTGCTTTATGCCTTGGGTTTCTCTACCTAGGTTGGAGCGTGGACCTAGGAGGTCCGCTTCTCAAACAATTGTAGATCAAATGTTTGTATGCTCGTGTTTAGTTGTCCCTTTTCTTTGTGGTCCTCCCCTCGTCTCGCCCCTTTGTCTTTTGAAATTCTGTCTCTTTCATTTACAAGCATTAGTAGAGGTCCCTTAATTTGCTTTCGTTATCTGTTTCATTGATTAACAGCTTTTTCTGCAATGGTGGATGGTAAAAGTCAAGAAATGTCAACCAAAGAGTTGTCGGGGGGAGCCAGAATCCACTACATTTTTCAGTCAATTTTTGTGAAGAGCTTGGAGGTGCAATTTAGTTTTCATAATTATTGAAATGCTGGATTGCATTTTTTTTTTTTGGACTGCTGAAATATGTAAATTTAAAGTCATGTTTGCTAGGAAATCTGCAGGTATCTTTTGCTTGGACTGTTACCTTAGTCAATACATTTACCATATTAATTTATTGATTTTCTAAATGATAAAACAGTCATTTATTTAGTTTCTGCTCAAAATGTGATAATGGTAATCATGAGATTTTAAGTGCTACATAGCTGGTAACTACCTCATTTTTTGTGTAGGAAGTGAATCCTTGTGAAGATTTTTCTGATGAGGACATTAGAACGGCTATCCAAAATGCTACTGGTCCTAGAAATGCTTTGTTTGTTCCAGAGGTGTCAATGTTTTTACATACTGGCTCTATTTAGCATGTTTTCTATGGTTGGTCTTGTGTTTCAACAATTCTTAGCATATTTCTGATATGAATATTTATTATTATATTCACCTTTCAGGTCCCATTTCAAGTTTTGGTTAGAAGACAAATTGCTCGATTGTTAGATCCTAGCCTTCAGTGTTTACGACTTGTCTATGATGAACTAATAAAGGTGCAGAAAAACAGACTTCCTCACTTGTGTTTTGCTCTCTCTCTCTCTCTCCAACTGAATGAGATGTGATCTGGCCAATTAATTTTCATGCAGATGAGCCGTGCTTGTGAGGCAATGGAGATACGAAGATTTCCACTATTACGAAGGCGTTTGGACGAAGTCATGGGGAAGTTTTTGCGTGATAGTGTAAAACCTGCTGAAAGAATGATAGGAAACATTATTGAGATAGAGGTTCTTTGATCTCTCTCTGTTCTTTTATTTAAGTTTTGTTATGCAGGAATTAGTACTTGGTTTACATGATTACTTAAATATATCGAACAACATTTGGCATGGAATTTTTAAACCTCACTTATGTACTGGATAAGTGTCATCTTGGAATTGAAATGAGAACCCAAAACATTAAATTTGTTGGAAGTACCAGAAATGATTGTCTAAGATCTATTCAGAAAGTAGTTGACTTGAGGGTTGACTGTAAAAAATACTGAAATACTTCGGACCCATAAAAAGAAATTTAGACTTTAAAGCTAAATTGTAATTGACGGTTCTTTGAAAGTTTAATTTCAGAAGACCACTCTCTCTCTCTCAGAAAGAAAAACACCCTTGTCTTTTATTCTGCACACCTGCAAACTCTTCTTTCCACTTTTGATGATTTGCTTTCATTGCTCAGGCTTCCGTTTTACCCTATACCACCATTCCTGAA